ATATATATTTATTATGTCGACTTATCAAATTCTATTTTAACACTCTATTCTCTCTCTCTCTCTCTCTCTCTCTCTCTCTCTCTCTCTCTCTCTCCAGATATCTAATCTTAGTAATAAAAAAAAAACCTGAAGAAAGAAAGAAATAAATTCTCAGTTAAGATGTTTCAGTTATACCAGGGAATATATAAGTGAGACTAAGAAAAAAATGGTGTGAAAAAACAAAAACAAAAAACGATTTATAATCATAATAATAATAATGATATACGACATTTTCTTTCTTTCTTTCATTTTGGCTAAAAAGAAATATTTGTCATTAGTAAAAAAGTCGAAATAGTCGAAATCATGATTATTATGATGATCATCTTATAAAGAATCTAAATATTTATTATTATTATAATGATGATGACCATTGACTACTGCTACTACTGCTGCACTACTATAACCAAAGTAAATATATTATAATAGGTGTTACAAAACAAACATTTTGTATTTTTTTGGGCTATATGATGATAATGATGATTATAATGATTATTATTAGTTTTAAAGAGAGAGAGAGAATAGGATAGAATCTTTTTTTGCGGAATTTATCGAATGAACCAGCACACATCAGACACACCAAACAATGGTAAAATGAATGTTTTTTTGTTTTCATTTTGAGACAAAAAATATATAATGTAAAAATGTACACAACAGCAGAAAAAACGAAAAGAAAAGAAAATTCGGTGATAATAGAGAGAATTACACAAATGAAAATAACGACAGAACAAATGGAAAAAGAATCACATTCAACTAAACATACAAAAAAACAAAATACAATTCGCTAAACAACAACAATAAAGAAAGATAGCCATGATGTTAGAGAATTTGTTGAAGAAGAAAAACAACAAAACAATGATAATATCATCAATTTATTCAACATTTCCCTTCCCTTTCTTCCTTTTCTTTTTCTGTTTCTGTATGTGGTCATTTTTTTGTATCTTTTCGGTTCAATTTCTTGGATGTTTTTTTTTCTTTCTTATTTCTTTAGTTGTTTTGTCTTGTCTTTTTTTTCCCCGGACAAACAAATATATATTCATACACAACTTAACACAGTGTTAGCACACACACACAGAGAGAGAGAGTCATAAATTAGTAAATGATTGCTTCGACTAAACCAACATTCGAGCAAATAATTCGAGAAATAATTTATCTTTGAATTGAATTGAATTGAATGAGAAAAACGAAACGAAAAGATGCAGCAGCAAACAAACAAACAGAAAACAATCACATAATTTACAATATGATAATTTTCATTTCAAAATCAAAAAAATATTTAACATTAAGCTCGTTCGTTTTGTTTGTTCTCGTTTTTGTTTTTTTAATTCAATTATTTTAAATGGGAGAGAATTGTAGAAAAATTTAACCCTTTTGTCTGTCCTATAGTCATTTAGTTTTGATTTGATTGTAGTTTTTTTTCTCTCTCTCTCTCTCTCTCTATGTTTTCAGAGTTGACATAAATTAATGAAAATTAATGAAATTTTTAAATTTTTCAAAAAAAAATTTTTCATTTTCCCAATCCCATCATCATGCCAGTCCAAATATTTTATCGATCCAAGTGTACAGGCCTTACATTATTTGGATATAATACAGATGAAAGATTCGATACATAAATCAAATTTTTATCATAATTTAAAAAATCTTTTACCAACAATACCAACGGTAAGTAATTTTGAATAATTTTCACACTATTTCCACCTCAAATTACACAATTTTCAGCTATTTCTACCCTAATAAAAATTATTTATCGATTTTTTATTCCCCAAGATCATCATCATGTCGTCTCCTTTTCCCTTCTGTAATTTATTTACCAGCCAAACGACGACGACGACGACAAACAGTTTTTCCACTGAATCGTTTAATAATAAAGTTGTGCACTAAAGTGTCGACCATATTTTTTTTTTCCTCGAATATAAAAATAACAATATTTAATAATAATTTATGAGATTTTCTCGCGTTCCAAACGTAGAAAAGTGAATAATAATAATAAAAAAGAAAAGTTATAAGCTTTTTTTACTCTGCATACATAATCAAAATATAGTGTGTGTGTATGTGTAAGAGAGAAAACATTATGACAGGAATTATGGCAGTGAAGCCGACTTTTTAGTGTTGAAAAGCATTTTTCTGAACAAACGCATTACAAACAAACGAACGATTATTTTCTTTTGGTTGCATAATAAAAATATTGTAATAATAATGTTTTTTTTCTCTCTCTCTCTCTCCTGGCTGGTTTTAATTAATAAATAATATTAAACACATTCATTCATTCATTCATTCATTCAGAAGAAGAATCCATATAAAAATCCAATATTTGAGTGGAAAATAGTTAACAATATAAAGAAGAATATATATGTGTAGAAATAGGAAAAAGATTTTCCAGAAAGTTTTCCCGAATGTTGAAATTTTGAACATTTTATCATTTTCAATAGAGAAAATCGGAATCCAATAATAATAAAAATCTTTTGTTATTTCGAATCGAATTTCATCATCATCATTGGATTCATTAGTGTTTATTTTGGATAGATTTTTTTTATAATCATCATCATCAAACACCCCCCCCCGTATCATTCAGTGTTAAAATAACTAATTTTAATAATAATGATTTTAATCAACGGGCAAACAACAACAACAACAACGACGACGATAATTGAAAATGATAACAAACCAGGCAAATGATAACAAATGAAATTGAAATGAATAATAAAAAATCGAAAGGGGAAAAAACATTGATTGAGAAAATAACGAAAAAAAAAAATTTTTGCCTATTTACACACACAATGTGTGCTATAAATATCTTTTTTTCCTTTCGCTCGTTTCGTTTCGCATTTTTATTACCGTCGTCCTCGTTTGTTTGGCGTGTTAATTTGATGAAATTTTCTTTTTTTTTTTTTGCCTTGTGTAAATCATCATCATCATCATCGTTATTTTTTACCAAACGAATGAATAAAATGAAAGGAAAGAGAAACATAGAAAGGAAAGGAAAGGGTTGAAAACAGAGAGAGAAAATCTCGCTTCAAATGATTATAATTACCTATTTTTTTTCATAAATGCATGATTTTTTTAACCCGATCGTCGCAATCGATTGATTAGAAACTAATTTTCTTTTTTTTTCGTTTGTTTTTCCATCATTTTTCTCAATTTATGTGTAATAAAAAAAAAGAAATTATGGTATCAACATATATTACCATCAATGGTTGGTGAATTGGAAAGTCCGGAAGTATTAGCAGCAGCATTACAACCAATAATCTATATGATTAATCGTTCAACGATGGAACAATTTCAACAATATATTCTACCATTTATTAAGAATATATTTCAGATGCCAAAATCTGTTCAGGTAAATATCAAAAAAAAAAAAAAAAA